GGTCAGCTGCAGGGCTAATGTTTGAATTCTTAAGTTTTTATGGCACTTTAATGTATTCCAGTAGTTTAATTAAGGCATTCTTTCCTGATATAAACTTTGTACAGTTTGTGTTTTTCATCCTCTCTTAAACAGCCTTCCTTTTGAAGAGCAGAAGTGGCTTATGTGGCAGATACAAGGTTGACTTTGGGTCGGGATTTCAGTTTGGCCCTGGCATGTAGACTTGACTCAGTCTTCTGGTTCTTCCTGTGTTCACTGCTTTGATTTATATCATGGGGTGGTTCTGGAGTACAACAACTGGTTTACTGTCTGGTGAAAGTAAATTGAAAGATACAATCTCAGTTGTGATGAGCATTCAGTCCACTGGGCTAGAGCAGAGCTTGTCTGAAGCAGTAGAAATAATGTGTCCTTCCCTCCCCTCAAATGTGTGTAGTGCCAACATCAGGTCTTCAGTATTGAATTTTGGTGAGTGGATGGAGAGCACGGGGATGCAGGTTGTTCTCTTGCAGCCCATGGAGGGCCACAGTGGAGCAGGTATCCACACTGCAGCCCATGGGAGCACACTGCTCCTGTGCTGGAGCAGGTGGACATGCCCTGAAGGAAGCTGCAGCCTGTGGAGAGCCCATGCTTGAGTGATGTTTTCCTGAAGGACTGCAGCTCATGGAGAGGACCCATATGGACACAGGGGAAAAGCGTGAGGAGCTGTTATGGACTGACCATAACCCTCCATTCCCTATCTTCACCAAAATTTCTTCACTGTAAGGGTTGTCAGGCACTGGAACAGACTGCCCACGGAAGTAGCTGAGTCAGTATCCCTGCAGGTATTGAAGAGGCGTATAGATGTGGTGCTAAGTGACCATGGTTTAGTGATGGATTTGGTAGTGTTAGGTTAGTGGTTGGATTTGATGACTGTAAGAGTCTTTTCCAACTGAAATAATTCTATGATTCTATCTCCCCTAGGGAGAAGCTGGGAGATAGAGGAGTTGAGAATGAAGAAGTGAAGTTGAGCCTGGGAAGAAGGAGGGTATAGGGAGAAGGTGTTATAGTTTTTGTCTTTTTCATCATCCTTTTCTTTTAATTTGCAATAAATTTAATTTTACTCAAGTCAAGTCTGCTTTGCTTGTGATGGTAATTGATAAGTGATCTCACTTTTATCTCGACTTACAAGGCTTTTATTTTTTCTTTCACTCGCCATCCTGCTGAGGAGGGGTGAGTGAGAGAGCAGGTGGGCGTCTACCTGTAATACCAAATTTTTAAAAAAACCTATTTTTTCAACCTTCTTTAAAACATACTATTGATTTAAACAGTTTGTTTTGTTTGTATTAGGAATATGAGAGTTTAGGTATCACATTTTGTGATCCAGTAGTGGCATTTTTTTAGCAGGTGAAATTAAAACTTTCTCTTAGTTCGCTGTCACCAGACGCATACGCATGTAAATCTAGTGCGGTGGTTAAATATTCCGCAATGCTCTGTTGTGCCAGCAGTGTTATGCAGCACCACAAAGAATGGGGTTGGGAAACCAATCCAGCTGACTGTTTTTCCTCCTGTCTGGTTTTCAGCCAGATATGTTTCTGATCCAGTTTACAGCTCAACTCTGCAAAAAAGTTTTGCTGGCGTAGTGGAAGGAATGGAGCAGTGTGGTCAGGTGGGGCGAGGCATGCACTGCAGTGGGTGTTGCTGATGGAATCATGCGTCAGGGAATGGACGAAGAAAGGCTGTGTCCATCAGGATGGTGTTCAGGGATCTGTGAGGTAGCAATGGGACTCTCTTGATTGGAGACTTCAAATGCAGACATGCACTCTTCTAGTTAGTAAAATTACTTTTGAGTCAAACATCATTGTATATTTTTTTCTTGATTATTTTTAAGGAAGCTCCTCTGAGTTTTTCCACATTATACCTCTCTTTTGCCCTCTTTCCTGCTGTTTGGACAGGTTGAAGAATCTTGCAGCACCCAATTCCTTTGTCCTTTTACATCCTGAATAAATGTGATCCTTGGCAAACCATCTTCCCTGAAGTTCAATAACTGTTAAAAAATTACAAAGCTGTGTAACTTTTGTCTTTCTGTGTGAAATACCTATTTAGCAATCAATTTAAAAACAAACAAAAAAAGCAAGCGAAAACCAAATACCACACCTCAACCCTAAGCAGCATTACTAGTTAGACTTACTAAGCAAGGCAACAAAACAGTAACATGTTATCTCAGTCTTTTTAATGTACCTGCTCTTGAAGGCTACCAAAAAAGTAGTAAAATGGCTCAAAACCATTCATAGCAGTGAGGCAGCCACCATGATGTCGTAGCTAATGCTGTCTTTTTGAGTCTTACAGATAATCAACTGATAGCAGACATGAAAGTCTCAGTGTTCATAGCAAGACAGACAACTTTCTCCTTGATGTTTACTTTCCATGTTGGGAACAAAGTCACTGACAGAATTGTGTGGATGGAGAAAATGTGTGGGTGATTTCCAAGTTCCTGTTTTATAGAAAAATAACACTTTTAGTTGTTGTTACCAGGCAGCAAATACTTTTTAAATCTAGAAGGTTCATTAAAAAGAACAATTATAATATATGAGGTGTGTTGTCTGGTATTTGGAGTTGGCAAGCAAAGTTACAGGTTGTAAGACTTGTCTGTGCCAGACCTTCTTAATTTCAGCACAGACTTTGTGGTGAAGGTATGTATGCTGCCTTAGTCATGAAGTGCTCCACGAATTACAGTGATTGTTTAGTACAGTGTCAGCAGTTTAAGAGTTGTTTTTGTCACTGAAGGCTACGTTTGACTGCCCTGAAGAGCTGCTCAGATCTCTGCGGTGCTATGTGCAGTCTGTGCTCCAAATGTGTTGCCTTTTCCAGCCTTAACTAAATATGTATTCTAATATTCATGCATCAGGAAAATTTTTAATAGTGAGGCCGGAAATCTTCCTAAATACATTTATAATCAAGGCTGGAAGAGGATGGAGTGAGAAGCCTTCTTGGTTACGAGAAATGATACTCAATATGATTTTGCTGTCATTGAGAGGGACCTTGCTAGGCTGGAGAAATGGGCCAACAAGAATCTCATGTAATTCAACAAAGGGAAAGGCCAAGTCCTGTACCTGAGGAGGAGTAACCCCTACACCAGTACAAGCTGTGGACAACTGGCTGGAAAGCAGCTTTGCAGGAAAGGACCTGGGGGTATCAGTGGACAACCAAGTGAACGTGCAACATGACCTTGTGGCAATGAAGGCCAGTGTTATCCTGGGCTGCGTTTGGAGGAGTGTTGAGGGACGTGATCCTTCCCCTCTACTCACTACTGGTGAGGCCATACCTAGAGTACTGGGTCCAGTTCTGGGCTCCCCAGTGTGAGAGAGACATACTGAGTGTGTCAGATGAAGGGCTGCTAATGTATTTTTAAGGGATTTTAAGGCATCTGGTGTGAGGAGAGACTGAGGGATCTGGTAATGTTTAGTCTGGAGTAGAGAAGGCTCAGGAGGATCTTAAGAGTGTATATAAATACCTGATGGAGGTTGTAAAGAGAATGAAGCCAGGCTTCTTTCAGCGGTGTCAAGTGACAGGACAAGAGGCAGTGGGCACACGTGGAAATACAGGGATTTCTGCTTCAGCATAAGAAGAAACGTTTTTGCTATAGGAACGATTGAACACTGAACAGGTTGCATTGTGGAGTCTGCGTTCTTAGAGATGCTCTAAACCTGACTGAATATGGTCCTGGGCAGCCATCTCTAGTTTGCCTTCTTTGAGCACTGTTGGTCGGAATAGACACTTTCCAGGGGTCACTTCAAACCTCAGCTGTTACATGATTCTGTGAAATTATCAGGGAAGAAGGCATTTCCTTCAGTTTTGCCTCTCCAACTGTTGAGTCACCCGCAGTGAAGAAAAATCAGCTGTTGGACACAAGTGATTAATAGGTTTATAGTGAATTTGGCAGTAATTTCCAAAAGCATCACTTCTGGTGGGGACAAAAATTGTTCATTTTCCTCACTAATTTGAGTGTGATCTGGTTTTTTGTCTGCTTTTTTAAGGGTTAGTGACTAGGAAAATGCTGTGTTAGTCCAGCCTTTCAGTGCTCATTTTTATCTTGTGCTACAGACTGAATGTCAGTGCTTCTCTCTTCTGTTGCTCAATTTTTTCCACACAGCAGCAGAATTTGATGTTTTTTTCACTGTATTCATAATGCATGGATGGAAACTGTCTGTGAATGATCACTTTCACTGTCCTGTAGCTTGGCAAAGCTGTAGGAGTAAGTAGTCTTGAGAACTCAGTTTTTGTGGAAGGCTGGGCAGAGCACATGCTGGTGGGTTGCATCTGGTCTGTCTTTGGCACACTCTTTTCAAACAAACCAACATATAAAGCAGTAAAACACTTAAAAAATGGTAACAGGTTTTCATGAAGCTAATGACATCGTTCCAAGAGAGATTATTTTTTTCCTACATATAAAAAAATAGAGATCATAAAATTGTTTAGGTTGGAAAAGATGTTTAAGATCATCAAGTCCAACTGTTAACCTGGCACTGCCTGGCCTGCCACTAAACTATGTCCTTAAGAGAAAATGATAAGAGAGAGATAAGTACTTATATTTTCCACTGTACAAAATGTGGAAGTCAAACTAATGATTTTAAAACTGTCATGCAGAGTTGAACTCAGTAGCCTTTGTGGTATGTGTTGATAGTCTTAATCCAGAGATAAAATTCCAAATTGCCTGTGTATTTTGATATATGCATTTCTGACCCTTTAACTTGTAGTTAAAGGATTTCTCATTTTCTTTCTCTCGTACATATAGATGGATAAACCAAACACAGCTTTCTCTGCTTTTTGAGCTGAGAAAAGATAGAATGTTTCAGGGACAGACTGACAAGTGGAGATATGAGGCAAAGCTCATCATCTTTTCCCCTCAGTTGTACAAGCTGATATCACTAGAAGCCTTTTTTATTGTTTACTTTTTAGTATATCGTTTCAAACCACAATGGTGAGCAACAGAAATCTGTGTAGTGATGTAGGAAAGTAGTGAGTAGTTTTTTTTTTTCTTTTTCTCCCCACAGGAATCAAGCATGATGGGACTATGTGTGATACTTGTCGACAGCAACCCATCATTGGCATCCGATGGAAATGTGCTGAATGCACAAATTATGACTTGTGCACAGTTTGCTACCATGGGGACAAACATCACTTGAGGCATCGGTTTTACAGAATTACTACACCAGGAAGTGAAAGGTAAAATGTAATTTTTTTCCCCATGAAATTAAATAGGAACAGTTAATTGTGGTTAACTTTTAAATTGCAGATTTGGATACTGAAACTTGAATTAGGTAAGATAATGGCTTGAGACATAGATTCTGTTACTGGCTTTGCCTCTTTCTGGGGAAGGGTAGCTAGGACAGGTCTTTGAAGCTGGACATTTTAGAAAGAATAGAGTAGATAAGTCTTTACACAATGTATAATCACAAAATGACATGTCAAGGAATTTCTGAATGTGAAGGTTTAATTTGTTTCAAAAATAGTGTAGACAGATTGAGGGGAAAATAACCTTGTGGGCTATGACAAACAGAATGATCTAGAGACAAAAATCTTTGACTTCAACTTCTTAAGCTCACTACAGGAAACAGAGAAAAGTTGCTGTGAAAGGTTTTTCTACCCTTGCCTTGGTTTTCATGTTCTTTTCTTAAGCATGTGTTACTGTCTCCCAGTAAAGAACGCCACACAAAATTGGCATTTAGTGTGTTCTTGCATAGCTGTTCTTGTGTTCTTGACTTGAAATTAGTTGTCTAAATCCTGAGCCCCTCTGTGCCATGATTTACCTATTGGTTAAGTGAGAACAGTGATATTTGCCTGCTACTCCATGCTTGGAGAACTGCGGTAAAGCCCAGTGTAAAGGCTACATGCTGTGGTATCACCTCTGTGATAACTCTCCAGAATATTTTTTCATTAAATCATTGGAATCTTTTTTGTTAGATAGGATACTCAGTTATATGCAACATCTGTAAGACAATATTTATTTCCTCTTCTTGGAGAAGTAAGGTTTACAAATATGTTGTAATTCAGTGATATGCTTTTATCAGTGCTCTTACAGTTAAGGGAAGTTGTTGGAGCACGCAAACTGAGTTCTTGTATCGTGTCTTGTACGGACTGTTTATTTTCTCAAATGTTTGCCTTGATGTTCAACTATTGCTCAAATGCCTGGGTCAGTGGCTTAATCAAAAAGTAACTTTTGTTTCGTTAAGATTCATGCCAGCAGTTCTAGGTACAAAACAGATACCATGAGCTTAGTGTCTCAGTTAAAATGTTTAATGCAGAACAAGACTTAAAAGTTGAATCCAGGAGCAGAAAGTGCTGACTTAGTGTAATTGAGAATAGGTAACAAGATACAAATCTGTTTTTCTATTTATTTCTTTAAAAAAAAATCTCTTTGCTTTTGAGAATGTTTGCCAGATTCTTCTATATTTTTTTTAGCTGAAATTTCCTTTGTAGTTCTAAGTTGTCTGTTATGGTGTATAGAGCATAAGTTTTAGTTTTGAAGATAGATTGTACGCAATGTATAGAATTGCAGGAAATCTTCTGCATCTTACTACTTTCTCCCTATCTTTGTTTACTCCCGTTGAGCTCTGTTTTGCAACTCTTACCTAGAAGGCAGCTTCATCTGACAAGGAGGTGTTTCTATTGGATCAAGCCTATTTGAGAAAAATTGATTAAAGTTAACTGTTTGAGAGAGGAGAAAAGGGCAAAGCAGTACTGTTGAATTTGAGGAATATCTCATAGGAAAAATGGCAAGAGGCATCTAAGAATGTTTGGGTGAAGAAAAGCATAAGCATAAGGGATGCATCAAGGAAAGCTAAGGCCTTCTTAGAATTAAATCTGTCAGGAGAGGTTGAGGATAACATGAAAGGCTTCTTTACACTGGAGGCAAAAGGAAAGCTGGAGGAAGTGTGGGTCTGCTACTGTATGAAGTGGGTGCCTTGCTGACGGAGGATACAGAGAAGGCAGAGTTACTAAATGCCTTCTTTGCCTACATCTTTACTGCTAAAGCCAGCCCTCAGGAGTCCCAGACCTTTGAGACCACAGAGGAAATCAGGAAAAAGGAAGACTTTGCCTCGGGTGAAGAGGATTGAGTTAGAGAATGATTAAGTAAACTGGACATCTACAGATCCATGGGGCCCGATGGGATGCATCCACGAGTGCTGAGGGAGCTGGTGGAGGTCATTTCTAGACCACTCTCCATCATCTTTGAAAAGCCCCTGAAGACTGAAGGAAAGCCACTGTCACTCCAGTCTTCAAAAAAGCTTGTTCTTGGTACCATCTAAAAGCATGTCAGGGAAATGAGGATTATCAGGACGAGTCAACATGGATTCACCAAATCATGCTTGAGCAATCTGATGGCCTTTTACAATGGTATAACTGGATGGGTTGATGAGGGGATGGCAGTGGATGTGGTCTGCCTTGACTTCAGCATGGCTTTTGACACCATCTACCGTGATATCACAGCCAAACTTAAAAAGAAAGGATTGGATGATTGAATAGTGAGGTGGATTGGGAACTGGCAGAAGGGCAGAACTCAGAGAGTTATGGTCAGTGGAGCAGAGTCTACTTGGAGGCTTGTGTGTGGTAGCTTTCCTCAGGGGTTGGTACTGGGTCCAGCTCTGTTCCATTTATTCATCAGTGACCTGGACTATGGGACAAAGCAAATTTGCAGATGATAAAAAGCTGGGAGGAGTGGCTGATGCACCAGAAGGTTGTGCTGCCTTTCAGCGTGACCTGGACTGGCTGGAAGGTTGAGTGAAGAATAACTTAATGAAGTAACTTAGCAAAGGCAAGTGCAGGGTACTGAATCTGGGGAAGAACAACCCCATGGATCAGTACAGGATGGGGCCTGATCTGCTGGAGAGCAGCTCAAGGGAAAAGGACCTGGGAGTCCTGGTGGACAGCAGGATGACCATGACCCTGCAATGTGCACTCACAGCCAAGAAGGCCAATGGCATCCTGGGGTGCATTAAGAAGAGCGTGGTCAGCATATTGAGGGAGGTTCTTCTCCCACGGAATCACAAAATATTAGGCGTTGAAAGGAACCTTGAAAGATCATCCAGTCCATCCACCCTGCCAGAGCAGGATCACCTAGACTGGGTCACACAGGAAGGCATCCAGGCGGGTCTTGAATGTCTCCAGAGAAGGAGACTCCACAACCTCTCTGGGCAGCCTGTTCCAGTGCTCTGATATCCTTACAGTAAAAAAGCTTTTCCTTATGTTCACGTGGAACCTCTTATGCTCTAGCTTGTTCCCGTTGCCCCTTGTCCTATCATTGGACATCAGAGAGAAGAGCCTGGGTCCGTCCTCCTGCCACTTGCCCTTTACATATTTATAAACATTAATGAGGTCAAACTCTCCCACTCTGCCCTGGTGAGGCCATGTCTGGAATACTATGTCCAGTTCTAGGCTTCCCAATTCAAGAAGGACAACGAGTACTGGAGAGAGTCCAGTGAAGAACCACTAAGATGATGAGAGGACTGAATCATCTCGCATATGAGGAAAGGCTGAAAGAGCTGGGTCTGTTTAGCCTTGAGGAAAGGCTGAGGGGGGGATCTCATTAATGCGTATAAATATCTGAAGGGTGAGTGTCAGGAGGATGGGACCAGACTCTTCTCGGTTGTGCCCAGCAATAGGACAAGGGGCAGTGGTCACAAACTGGTACACAGGAGGTTCAACTTAAACTTAAGGAAAAGCTTCTTTACTGTAAGGGTGACAGAGCGCTGGAACAGGCTGCCCGGAGAGGTGTGGAGTCTCCTTCTCTGGTGACACTCAAAACCTGCCTGGACATGTTCCTGTGTGACCCAGTCTAGGTGATCCTGCTCTGGCAGGATTGGACTAAATGATCTTTTTTTCCCTAGGTCCCTTCCAAATCCTAATATTCTGTGATTCTATGATACCTATTTTATTCTTGAGTGTGGGATGTCATATGGGCAGCATACCAAAGTGTACGCTGTTTTATGTCTGTTTTGTGGCTAAGATCTTTCTAAAACGCTGCTATAAACAGCATATCTTGGTGTTTTCTATCACTCTTTTATACTTTTTACTTAGATAAAAATGGCAAGTATTTTCGTGTGCTCTTTGCATTGATAAGAACAGTTTAACTTTTTCCTTGTCTGCCATCTGCTGGAAGTTAAAAGTTTAGCAGGAGAGTGTTACACTTGCTGAAGAGATCAGGAAACAATCAGAATTTCAGCTGAAAAATACTTTTGTCTGGCAACGTTTTCCTGGCATTCATTACTTCAGTAAGGAATCTGATTGCATGCAGACTGATGGTTTTTGAGATGACTGAAAAGGCAGGAAAATATTTGTCCCTTTGTTTCTATTTATAAATAGGTAATACTCATGAACTGTTAATAAGGATTATAAATATAAGATGATAAATACTCATGAACTGTTCTGTTTGGGCTCATCTACTTCAGTTCTGTTGAAGTCAGAGGGGATAAAAAGAGGTTTGCGTTAGAAAAATAACATGACTGAAAACATGGATACTGATGCATTGAATTAAATTTGCCAAGATATGGTATAAGTAGTATGTAGAAAATAAACTGAGACATGGAGGGGAAAGAGGTATACTCTTAATAGCAAAATTCTGAATAAATATGGCAGGGCAATTATGGGACAGTAATATTGACCTAGGGTGCATCTAAAAGAAACAGAAATGTGTTGTTTATGTGACTGTTTCTTTAATGATTTTAGTAATATGAGTACAGATCTATATGCACGTGGTTACGAGATTATTGCTGATAGTAGGAAGTTTGGTGAAGAAATTATAATTAAAAACTAATTATAAACAAACAGTAATTCAGATTTAGGGGAGTACTGGGCTGCTGTTTGAGTTGAAAACTACATGGATGTGATTTATGCTCTGAAATCTCTCTTTATGGGGTTATTTGTGTTTCAAGATGCTCTTCTTTCCATCCCCAAAGATTCGTTTTGGATTTTCATTATTATCTTGACGTTTGTGGGTTCTTCTTTTAATAACTTCAGGGTATTGTTGGAGTCTCGCCGTAAGTCAAAGAAAATTACAGCAAGAGGAATCTTTGCAGGTGCCAGGGTGGTGCGAGGAGTTGACTGGCAATGGGAAGATCAAGACGGTGGCAATGGGCGTAGAGGAAAGGTAAAAATAAAACTGGTTGAAATAAGACGCATTTCTGCATGCTCATATAATGTCCCCAGTGGCCTTTCTAGTTGTAGAGTAAAAATACAATAAAAGTTACTATTTTAATTTGCTGGATATTTTTTAATCTTATTCTGTAATGCTCAAGCATTTAGAAAGCGGAGGGGATGTATACTATGACCAATTCTTTTAAATTTAAGTTTTCATTTTTACTATACCAGCACAATAAGGTGCTCTTATATCTTGGTTAACCTGCAGTTTTTGCTGCCTTTTTTTTTTTTTCAGTACACTTAGACAGCACTTTAAAAGAAAGTGAAAAGTTCCTGAATATGATATTTAGCCTATTTTATGTCCTAGACATTTATGGAAACTTTAGGACTTTTGGGGATTTAATTTTGTATTTTATTAAGAGGAAATGAATTTAAATCTCTTCAAGCAAGGGATATTCAGATGCAGCTTTTTTCATCTTGATTAATTACCCCTTGCTGTGAATTTGGCAAGTTATCTTGAAATCTGAAACTTTGCAAAGTAAGAGTTTTCTCCTGGATTGTCTGTGTTATGTACTGAACTTGAATTAGTGGGATTTTCTGCAAGCTGAAAATATGTATAAATGCATATAAATGTTTTTAATGAGGAAAAGCAGGTGGTAGATAGCAGAAGCAGCTTTTAAATACATGCAAGTAAGAATGAAGGCAAATTCTGGAAATTGATTTTTTTTTTTTAAATAATTGAAGTGTTTTCAGAATTTGATGCATGAACTTAAGATTTCAGAAATGTCAGGGAAGGTCCTTTTTGCCCTCCTTCTTTTGTACTGTAGTTAAACAGGTTGACTCTGGAAATAAAACTTCGTCTCCTAACACAGTGCACTGCCAACCAATGCAGGTTAAACCAGATCAATTGAAGCAATTAGAATAGTTTTCATCCTGTTTTTTTTTTCTTAATTAAATGCTGCTTCTAGTAAGAACATGTCAAAGCATCATAGAATGAATTTTCACAATTCAGATTTTGTTCTCTACTTTGGTAGTTATATTACCTACCAAATACACAAGATAAAAACAGGCCTACAAGTTATATATTCAGGCTGCCACCTTACTAAGACACCTAGGGAACACTTGTATCGAACAGAAAACAGCTTCAGAATAAATTTTATTGAATTCAGTAAAACTACTGTATCCTGAATTACTTTGAAGAGATAAGTAAGCTTTTAAGTTCAAATTGTGCTTCTAAGTCTTTGTTCTGGCAACAACTTTCTTATTTCCAAAACTGAATAGGTAACTGAAATCCAAGATTGGAGCGCGTCTAGTCCGCATAGCGCAGCATATGTTCTTTGGGACAATGGTGCTAAAAACCTTTACAGAGTCGGCTTTGAGGGCATGGTAAGTATAAAAGAACACAAGGGGTACGCTGCATGGTGGGGGAAGGGCAGTAAGAATAACTTATGCTTTATTATCCTGCTTTTGTAGTGTCCTTTGTCAGGTCATTGTGAATACAGCTGTGTGGATCATGCATATGTATTAGCAAGGAAGTCTGATCTGGGGATTGATAAAACATGGGAATAACTTAAGGGCTGATTTCTGCCAGAGTGTAGTAAATGTTTATATCACATACATGATTATCTTACTCTGCTACTGTTGTGCTTAGCTTTAAAATTCAGAAAAGAAGAAGAAGCTTAGTATGAACTTCCTGAACACCGTATTTCTTTAGCTTCTGAACTCTTCAGTTCACGTAAAATTTTGATGTGATTACTGCAAGATTCACAGTTTTTAAATTACTGGCAACACTCAGAATCCTCTTGAGAGCTTTTTTTTTTTTTTTTTTTGGTCAATGGAGAGGTGTTGAATTAAGTTACAACTTTAATTTGCTTTAGCAGTAAATTTTTCTTTTTCACTTCCTAGCTTCTGCAACTACTTCTACAGCTTTAGAGAGAAAATGGGTCAGGCTGTAGCCTAAGTGCCTTCTGTTGCTGGGTTTTCTTATCCTAATGTGGGTCAGGGAAAGGTTACTTTTATTATCAGCTGCTTATAACATCTTAATTAGCATTTTCTTTGCATGGTTTTTGTTTGATACTGCAGAGAAAAACCGTGTTAAGTTAACATTGAGGTGTCATCTTGTCAGATGTGTATCAGTAATAAAATGTTAAACAAAGATCAGTTTACTTTTTTTGGAAAGTAAAATACTTTGCCTTATACCCTCACTTGAAATAAAGTTTATTTTTATAATTAAAAGAAACCCCTAAATACCACTTTTGCAGCAAATATATACTTTAGTGTCAGGTTTAAAAAGAGTCAACATCTTTAGTGTGGGTCAGCTTTTGTGATGCATGAAGATGCTAAAGGACAAAATAGAGGTCAGTATTGAATTATGTGCTTCGTGGTCCCCCCCCCCACACCCTCAGTTCTAAAGAAAATTCCCTATATACTGGCAAAAGGGAAAGTTACATGTAGTATTACGTAGTATAATATTATTAAACCAATGAGTGGTATCTTCCACCTTATATTTTATTGTGATGCATGGAAAAAGAACACAGTTACAAAATTTAGATAGAATGAGATACAGATCAACTGTTCTTGTTGCTGTGATTTCAGTTGCTATGTTAAAATTTGTGGAGTATGTAGTAGGAGTGCTGTAGAATCATTAAAGATTCCTTCTGGCCTTAAAAATATATTTAAGAGAAGTTCTATTCTGTTCTGAAATAGTTATTCCCTTAAGAATAAAAAAAATATGTAAATTATTTGTAAATCAACTATATGCCAAACTGTTGGCACAAAGGAAGGGTTAAATATTTCTGGAATACTTGAATAACTGCTGCAGCTGTAAATGTGATTGGACAAGGATCCAATCAAATTCCCACAAGATTTATACAAATAGAAATATTTGCTCAGTCATTTAATTAACAACAAAAAAAACCTTAAAATGTGTATGAAATTATATATATGTATTTATTATATGTAAAGGATAATATGTAAATAAGATATGTACATACCTGAGTATAAAAAGGATAATTTGAGTATTTATTTTATATTTATATGTAGTGCTTACCTGATTGTAATCCATTCCTGCAGTAATTTTATCTTTGAGTGCTTCTTTCAGTTGCAATTTTCACTTCAGACAGAGTGGATTCTTGGCTATCTGTGACAAATAGTCATTTGCATGTAAAGCTAAAATTTTGTAACTGATTAATTGCTTGCTAAATGTACAATTCATTAGGATTATTTACTACTATTGATATGCCATAATGTAAAGTTGACTAATAGACTGTCAGAAAGTTCATACAAAATTGGGGCAAATCTGTCTTGAGACTTGGAAATTAGTGAAGAATGTCCAAAGAATGTGGGATGAACAATACTCAATGTGTGCGCCTATGTAAATACAGCTGGGAAGAGACCCTTGCTTGCAAATGAGTAACACTTGACTCGGAGGCAAATGGAGCTGATTAAAGAAACACAGCTTATTATTGTAAGTCAGGGTTGCTTGGTTGATGGCTGACAGGCTGCATCTGATCTTCAAAATTTATCTATCTGCCCTGCCAGCCTTTCCTTGGGAGAGACAAGCATTGGCTAGTGTGGCAGCAGGTGCTGGCTGAAAACTTGCATTTATTTCTGGTCAGAACCTTAGAGTTTTGATTCAAGTTTGCTGTGTTTACAGATGAAGTGATTGAGAGGTGCATCTTGCCTTTCTTTGTCAAGCCTGGCATTTAAATCTGGGAGTTTCTGCTGCCACAGGCTACAAATTCCCAAATAGAAATCTGTTTTTATTACACTGTTAGGTTGAATAACGTTTGCTACGTCTGTAGTAGAAGTACTGCTGGCTTGTATGGTTTTTGACACTGCTTGCATTTCATATCTGTATGGATTCAGATTCTAGAGCCAGACCAAGCTATTAACCACATTACCTGCTTTACAAATGTCTGAATATGGCCTTTTGTAATAAAACTATGCACTATGTGGAATTAGAGAGTTAATGTAAAGACTATGATTTAGCTTTTTGAACTTGTTTCTAGTTTTTATTCTTGTCACACAGCTGAGGGTGACAAGCTGATAACCTCAATTGATTTTTCAATAAGCATTATATTCTACTAGTTATTAATAGAATTATTTTCTATAAAACTTAAGAAAATAATTCCATCCACAAGAGTACCCTAAATCAGCTTTGTTATTTAGGAATTGGTTTTGTGCTACCAAATTTCTTTGCTCTTGCCTTTTTTTGCTGTGGTTAACCTCATCCTCTTGTTTTTCATCATGGAGGATGTTCCTTTCTTCTCTGTAGCCTCTGAAAGAAGTAATTGTAGTTATCATCCATCACTGTCACAGTAATCTGTAAGCCATCTGTGTTTGTGTAGTTTTTTCCATGAATTCTGAATAGTTGAGTGCATAAGGGAAATTGAGAAGATTCCTTGCCCTTGTGTTTTTGCTGTTACTTTTAAGATTTTTATCCTGATTGGTACCCCGTGTCTGTTAACCAACATTTATTTGGGCTACCCTTAAAGATAATCCTTGAAATTACTCTAGAGGATTTTAAGAATTAATGCACTTTAAACAAAAAATAAAAACAGAGTAAACATCTTAGCATACTAGGGTGTTGCAGGTGAGTGTTATAAAATATATAGAAATATGCTTGCTGGTGCAGTTACGACAGTCAGATCTTCAGCTCTCTAGTGCTTTATCTTGTCCTGAGTATGTTCAAAGTGAGGGATTTAGGAAGGAGCAACAAGAATTTTCATTGGTTTTTTAGTTTGGTGTCCTTCTGTTGCCTCTAGGTGCTGATTAAAACTGATTTAAAACGCAGAAACATGAATTTTGGCTACCTTTACACATACAGCAGATGTTTTTTATTATACTACTCACAGTGTAGCCAAAGTTAGGTGGCAAGTTGTTCTGGAATCCAGAGAGCAAGGAGACATTTGTGTATACCTTGTGCATTTATTTGCATTTGTCATCAGACTTTGTTTCTCTTCTTGTTTATGTAGTCTTATTTCTCCATGTTTTTCCAGTAGTCTCAACCAAGCTTAGGAACATATTTCTGTTAAACAGAAATGTGCTTACTGGTCCTTTTCCCTATTTTGTTATTTATAGTATTAACCCACAAGGAAGACTTTAAAATTATCCTCCTTTAAAAAGAAAAGTTACACATGGGAAGTTTTTATAAGTGCCTATAATGAATAGATAGTAAGGTTAAGAAATGGTTCACTCAGGATTTGCCAGATTTCTTCTGTAAGAAGCTGTTGTTATTGTTGTTATACCTCACACCTCATCATAATTTCAGTCACTTTCTCTACTGTCTTCTACTTTCTCCTTTTATTGCTTTCACTTTTCTCAGGATCTTGGAACTGAACATGGTTTGAGTTCATTAAATTTAAAATACAGCATTTCTTTTAAGGCTTTAGCTAAAATGTAGAGATTTATCCAGTCCCTTGTTGTCTTCATCAGGTGACAAAGCAGCACACACCGAGCTTTCTCCATTTGCCCTGTAAGAGCTTCTTTCCTTGCCAAAAGCTGTTGTGATTTTAAAGACAGTAAATGACCTTTAAAGGCTGTGTTCATTGCTACCTCAAACACCTGCAGCTGTGGAACCATCCCTGTGGTATATCTGTATGATTTATATTAATTTCTCCCTTGCCATTTGCTGCTGCTGTTAGATGCTATTTTGGTACATCTCTGGATCAAACATTCTTTTTCTTAGCTGCCCACCTACTTTCCTTATCATCAGAAGACTCCCCTGCCTGGTTTTGATGGATGGCATTCCACACTGATTGGGATATCTTCAAAGTTACTCCAATAGGCAGCTGCTCCTTCAGCATTGCTTTCCTTTTCAAGGTCAGGGTTGATGGTACTTTTACACCATCTGCCAACACTGCTGACATTGCTGTAATGTACATTTTTTTTAATTCTCTAAAGTTTTTATGATGATGAAATTGCTGCTGTTTTTTTCAGTGGTATAATTGGATGGTAAGTCAAAGGAAACTGTTATGTTTTCTGTATTTCCCATTTGGCTCAGCAGATCTTAATCTTTATATAATCCAGTCACGTACAGCTGGAATGCAACGAATTTTTCAGCAGCTCAGAAGGTAGATGCTAGAAGACCAAAGTTCCTTGCTGTAGGCAAAAACCACTATCATCTACTACTCGTGTGTACAACTTCACTGTATAAGTGAAAGGAAGACAAATGTTACTGCTGAACTGAAAGTCCTGCTGGGAAATGTTTTGTGCTCATGCTGTTCCTTGAGTTTTCATTATAATGATTTCCTGCTTAACTGGGGCTTGCATATCTTCTCTAACTGTACACAAATTCCACAAAACCTATAGGTTGTTTTTCTGTTCCTTGAAAGAATCCCTGTCGGGGTTCATTGAATGATTTCTCCATCAAGTTAGTTTATAAAAGCCTATGTTTTGTTTTCATTTTGCACATTCATCTCCACCACGTATTTACACCCAACCTCACTACTTTTTCTGTGCGTGGTGTCATGGTGAGTCTAAAACTTGCATTTTAACATCCTTTCTGTTTTGGTACATTCCCTTTTGCGTGGGTATGTCTTGTCTCCAAACGATCCGCTGTTTCAACCCATTAAAACCCTGGTGGGGCTCTTCAAAGCACAGCACAGCAGAGCTGGCAGCAGGGATGCGTTGGCAGCCTGGGGTGGCCGGGCTTTGTGTGTGCTTGTGCTCCATCCTCACTAGGGGGGTCTGTCGCCACACAGTCCCCGGAGGAGAGTGATCTGGAGCTTAACACCACTCCTGATATTTTACTGCTACTTGGACTGAAGAACTTTTTTCCTTTTCTGAGAAATACTGTAGTTGAGTGCTAGAATTAGAATGAAGTTGCTTGCCCAGCTGTTGTGGTAATTAAGTGCAGCTAAGTACAGTTTCCTATCTTAAAACTCCAGGGTCTTTTTTGGATTTAGTTACGGTTTTTTGAGACATTTGCAGGCATTTATCATGTTGATGTTACTTTTGTTATTAGTGCTTTTTGCAAAATTGCTGAAGGAACTCTTTGCTATATGTACATTATATATGAGTTAGTTTCATACCGCCTTAATCTCTGTCAAGTGCTTCATCTTCCTGTGCAATTTGAGTCCTCATTTTTTTGGTGAAGGCTTATGTAAATAAAATAAACATGTTTACCTTGCTTTTCTGTGATGCTTAGGTCACACTCTTGTACTCCTTAGCGATCCAACATTGGCTTCACCGTGTAAGTGAAAGGAAGACAAATGTGCAGCTGAGGTTCAAGATCAAGATACAACTTAGTTTTACAACCAAGGATATCATTTTACTCCAGAAATAAACTGCTCAGGGCACAGTACAGGCAGGTTAAAAAGAGTGCAGATTTGTAGGTTTCTGGGTTGTTGGTTTTTTTTTTCCCTATAAAATTCAAGGTATCTTAACCTGCTTCCTAATAATTTTCTGCTTCAAGACAGTAATTAGCCTTTTACTGAATGTTTTATTTCTTCTGCTAGCTTTTAGCCATCAGTCAGCTCTGTATGTTAACACTTGCTGTAATGGAAGTGATCTTTCAGTCAGATTTTGCCTGGCTGGGAGGACCATTTAAGACCTTCCTTGCACTCTATCTTTAATGCTTTACAGAATGTGGAAACAGCCCTTGACTGTATCCCCCTTCTCGCCTCCTGTGCAGACAGCTGGTTGAAGAGTTCGTATTCAGTAGATTAGACTGAGTGCTCCCAGGCACGTTAAATCTCTGTTGGTGTGGGAGAATGAATCACTTTGCCATCTGGGGTGGTCAGCACAGCCCCTTTTGTTTTAGGCTGAGTTAAATCCGGCACCTGCCCACCGGGCGGCAGCAGTCTGGTACAGGCCTGCTGCTGCTGGGCTGGACAAACTCTTGTTCTAGGATTTGAAGAGCGGCTAAATCTCATTCTTTTCATCCGGCTGTTTTCGTCACTTTTTGAAGAGATGTCAGTATATTCTTTTTCGATCAGGATATAGGCTGAATTTTGTATCGTTTCTGGCTGCTTAGCAGTTAAACTGAGGGTAACATTGTGTTCATCAGTGCCTTGATGATTTGGAAGACTTGAGACAGTTCATTTAATCCTTTTGCAGGAGCACAGTCTGTCGATAAATCTTGGGTGTGGGAAAAACAATTGAAGTATTTGTTTAGTTCTGGTTGATTATATCATAACCACCACCTGTCCTCTGTTTCCTCCCCCATCCCATAGAATATTCTGACATGTTCTGCAAACAGTTTCCTATCTTCTTCCCAACTCGTGGTGTGCACAAAATGCCCTTTGTTTGGTGAGAATTGTTCCATAAGGAGCAATGGCAGATGGTAGCCATTTGGCTTGGAGGATTACGCAGGGTAAAAAATAGAGGAAAGGAGAATTATAGGAACTCTGCTGGCTTTATGAATGGAAGTTAGTTATCATACTTGAAACCTTTGTTTCTCAGATGATATTAAACAGAGTCTTTCTGGAGGATGAGCTTTAGAACTTTTCTCTTTAAAAAGATCATGTTTAGTTCAGTGTAGTGAGGTTTTCTGTGGGTTTAAATTTTTTTTGTTTTAAATAATATCCTTGTGTTCTCTGTATTCTTAATCGGAAATTCTTCATTTTGTAGAATTTGGGTGCCAGGTTTTCTTTTCTTTTCTGAGTTATATATGTGTCTGTCAAAAAAGGTTGGGAAGAGGGGTCAGCACTGGCAGGCATTAAATGATTGGTACAGGAAAGGCTGTGGCCTTGAACACTGCCTGCAGAGGTATTTTTTTTCTTTTCTTTCTTGTGTATGTACATTTTTTTCAAAGGAAAGATAACTTTATAGAACAATGCAAAGAAGCTTTGTGATATTTTAGTACATTTCTCTGAGTCAAAAATGTCTCATCCTTTATAGCCTTTTATATTGGTAAAGGTTATTAAAATCTTGAGAATGTCACGATTGGTAGAAAGTATTTGAGATTATATGCATTGATGACAAATTCATGGGGCATGTTTTTTGTACACATAGTTCTAGTTTCACTGACTTATGTTAACTTGGAGACTCAGTCAGTGATGTCTAAAGTTGTCTCAATCTCTCTCCATAGTCTGACCTGAAATGTGTCCAAGATGCAAAAGGAGGCTCTTTCTACAGGGACCATTGTCCTGTGTTAGGTGAGTTGAAGAAAAGTAAATTTAATCTTGATGCATGTTAGTTATACTTAGTCTGGATTTTTCTTTCCTTTTTAAATGTCTTCAAAAAGGGCTGTCTTTAGTAGTGAAATGTAAATGGTAGCGTTTCTATGCATTAGTAATAAATTGTAACACTTTTCTAAATGTTCTTGGTATCAGTGTGCCATGTGGATGGCAAGCGAGCTGTTAAGTGTTGACTTAAGTAATAAATGGAGTCACGTGTCTCGTGCACTATGTTTCTGAAGAGCCAAGCATAGCTGTGCATTTTTATAAGACTGTCTAAAATATTCAGAGATGTTCAATGAAGTAACATGTACATGCCATAAATAGGAGTCATTCGAATACATAGCTTAACTTGTTGTTTTATACTTATACTAGTATATGTTGTGAATCTTGGTTGAGGTTTTCTGTATCAGCTTTTGCACTCACTTATTCCTCTAGTGTCTTAGCTGGGCTGTAGACCTGTACAGGGTGTATTATAAAAAAATATTTGCCAGGTCTTTTGGTTTTTGAACTACAGGCAAGTTGAGATAAAGTTTATAGATTATTTGGCACAAATTTCTTAATTATTGATGTGTGTTTCCTTGGCAGAACACCTGATAATAAAACCAGACACTGCAGAAAATTTGCTTTTCTTCTCGGGTTTCTTATTATACTTCAATGCATAAAAAACCTTAGCTGATAATCCTGGCTTTTCTAAAGTGGTGAGAAACAGAATAGGAAAAGTTATTGTACCCTTCTTCTCAATGGTAATGAAACTGTGTCTAGAATACTATGTCCTGTTTGTGTCATTGCCCATCTCTTCCCTTCACCCTCCGACTTTGGGAAACTGTAGAGGGTCTGGTGGTGGTCTGCTAAAGTGGTTAAGGGACTGAAAGGACATGATTTGCAAGGAGGAGGAGCTGGGCTTGTTTAGTCTGGTAAGGAGGAAGTTAAGAGGTAACCTGCTAGCCACCTACAACCACTTGAAGGGTGTTTGAACATGATGGCACCAAAATTTCAGTAATGGGAAATGACATGAAAACGAATGGTAGTGGCCTTAAGGCCACCTCAAGTGACTTGAGAGGTTCAGATCAGATATTGAAGAAATTTTCTGTTGCACTTACAGCTCTATATTGCAGCACTGGAAAAAGTTACTTGGAGAGGCTGTGGAACCTTCACTCCCTGGGGGCTTCCAAGACTCGGATAAGCAAAGCCACAGCTGACCTCAGCTGGTTGTTAGTTCAGCTTTGTGTGGGCTATCAGACCAGATGACCTCTAGAGATCCTTCCTTCCAACTAATGCTTCTGTATTTCTTTGCTGGTTTAGATCTCTTCCATTCTTAAAATTCCCTGTCTCATCAGGGCTATTTCTGGGATATTTGCTGTCTAAGTTTTCTATCTAGTGTGTTACACATTAGAAGCTTTTCTGAAGAGTTGATCTTTGACGTTGTCCTCTGCAGAAGTGGCTTGTTTCCATGTTATGTGTAGTTTGCTGTGAAGGTGAAGGGTGTAGACTGAAAATAACATTCTGTCTTTAGGTCCTTTAAACTAAGACTGGAACAGAAAGAAGTCACTGGGTGATCATGGAAGTTCAAGTCCATTGAACATGAGCATTTATTGATGGGCATGCTTCCTTTCTCAGCATTGTCTTCTTCAGTACTATCAGATTCTTGTATTTGCCATTCTGTCTTCTGGAGACTTTTAGTGCTGTCTGGTGTGGATTTTAGGCTCTGGAATCAGTCTCCCTCCAAATAATGATTTTGTCTCTATGTATCAGATTATTTGTTTGTACTTCCTTGTTGTTACAGTGCAAGGACCCTTTCTCCATTATTACCTCCTGCTTGGAAGAGGAAAACCAAACACTCCCCTTGCCTTACCCCCTTAGTGACAGCAATATTACTAAAGGAACATTGCTTACCCTGTCCTTTGCCACTGCCATTGCCATTGAACTCAGTCTACATGACTTAGGCAGTTGTCATACTCTTCTCTGTTCTGTGGATAGCACCAGATGCTGTCCTCTGGTACTGGCAATGAGTAGGTCCACAAGTGTGTCCTCTCATCAGTTACCACATGATGTGTGTGAATGCATGCTAATGAATTTTTGCTATGACATATCTTTTGAAAGCAGGCACTGTCCAGGGAGATCGTTTTAATTTTGAATTTGTAGGGTGTTTTTTTGTTTGTAGTCATCTCCTCACTTACAGGGTTAAAGATTTTTCGTCACTGGTCATTTTGGAGGTATTCTTTTGCCAGTGCTTTCTCCACGTTCAAAGACTGACCCAATTCAAAACCATTTTCTGTGGGCCTTCTGCTTATCTTTCAGCCTCTGAGTGGATAGGTGTCGCTTTGTGTATGACTCACAAAAATTATTAGAGCTTTTATGTATCTAGGTGTCAAAGACTATATGACAGCAATGATAACAATCCCAGTTAGAGCCCATAGGGGAGCCTGTCACAAGTATTTAGCATTTACCGGTGTCATTGCTATTTGCCTTGAAAGCTCAAGAAGAAACGTAGCCATAGCCAGAGTTCAGAGTTCTTTTTTACCTGTTCACTCCCCGTTAGGTATTGGCCACCACTGTGGTAGAGACATCAAGTCTCAGAAATAGCTTCTGTTCTTTAAATTGTGGGGAAAATTACGGCAGTCATGTAAATAATTTCTTCTTATTCCATTTCAGGTGAGCAAAATGGTAACAGAAACCCTGGTGGGCTGCAAATAGGTGACCTTGTAAACATAGACCTTGACTTGGAAATTGTACAGTCTTTGCAGCATGGTCATGGAGGATGGACCGATGGCATGTTTGAAACTTTAACAACAACTGGAACAGTGTGTGGCATTGATGAGGATCATGACATTGTAGTACAGTATCCAAGTGGCAACAGGTTTGTTTTATAGCCTGCATCACTGATTCTCACAAACTTCCTTTACCTTCAGCACTTGTGATCACTTGTTGCTAGTACTTGTTGCCAACTTTCTGTTTTTCTTTTGTGTCTCTTACGATTTCCTTGAGAATTTTTCTATTCCTTCTATAATGTGTAATGAGGACTTCCATTTAAAGATCCTTTAGTGGGAAAATAAAGTTTGTTGCCTCTCACTTGGTGAGAATTTGAGTCCAAAATAATGAATGACATTTTGGACTATCTTGTTTTAAGCAGCAATTTCTTTGTTAATTACAAAGTATCCCATGGTTTCAAGAGGAACGTTAATAGCAACACGTTGCAGGTTTTCAGGAAAATGGGTTAAGAGGACAGGTGACAAACTTTTTACATTGGGGATCTTGCCTGATATAGAGTGACCTTGGCATGATCTATATCTAGCATTTTATTATTCAGAGGAATGTTAGTTTATGTAAATATGGACTGAGAATGGGAAGTGTTGAGGAAGCTGTTGCCAACACCACTCCCTGCAAGCAGTTTAGGTTTGAGGTTTGATGAGTTGCATCCATGCTAACAGGATTCAAACTCAGCTCTCTAGCTGGATCTGAGCTGAAATGTCCACATAATTGTGTTGTCTTGCTCTTAAGTATTGGGCTTATCTTTTGAAAAGCAGCTGTGAATGGAGTATCATTTCAGTTGTATCTGGAGACCTATTTGTTCAGTTTGTCCAGAAAGGATTAACAGTGCATTATTCAATCAGGCTTTCCCTCAAGATCCTGTTTGTTAATATCGCAAAGTAATACAAAACGAAGCTGTTTTCCCAGCTAACACAAGTTGAAGAGAGGCAAATGGCTTTCCCTCTGATAGTCATGGTTGCAGAGCCAGTGAGAAGAGCTGCTCTGTCTTGTGGTTTCCTCCCTGACTTTGCTCTTTATAGAGATTATCTGATGCTTTTCAACTAGACCAGATAGTTGAATGAAAGTCAGCCACAGACCAAATGAGACATAAAGGAGAGATCACCATATTATATATTAGAAAATAACTCAGCATAAAAACAGTTAAATGCTTCTAAATCAGTAAAATTTATAGCACAAATTAAGATAGTTTGTTTAAAAATTGAGGTGTATCTCAGACATCCTTTTAATTGAAGAGTGTTTTTATAACTGAATGTGGCAGCTTTTGATCTATGGGGAGGGGGCAAAATTCTGTGGTGTTCTCGTGTTGTTCCTTGACAGTCCAATCCTTTGTGAAACAGCTTGGATCTTTGCCTTTTCAGCCTCAGTTGTCTGCTTCACTCCCTGGCAGAAAAAATGGACTGTATATACATACATTATATTGCTGTCAGCTTGCTTCTCCTTAGGCAGGATATTTCTTCATTGCTTTTGCAAATGCACATTTCTGAAGATTACCCAGGAAATATTCAACTAATGAGACACAGACAAGTTTATGGACCAAAAATGGCTAACAGCAAATACACCATAGTATGCAATTGCAGAAAGTTTTTAAGTGTATGTCCTGGTTTTGCTGGTTAAACCATGACACCATACAAGCAGAATCTTTTCCAACAGATAATTTTTAAACTTTTATTTCATTTTTCATGTTTAAAATCTCCTTTAAATGATTCATTGTCTAGGTGGACATTTAATCCAGCTGTTCTCACCAAAGCCAATGTTGTCCGAAGCGGAGATGCCGCTCAAGGTGCGGAAGGAGGTACCTCTCAATTTCAAGTGGGTGACCTTGTTCAAGTATGTTATGACTTGGAGCGAATCAAGCTTCTTCAGAGAGGTCATGGAGAGTGGGCTGAAGCAATGCTTCCAGTAAGTAGTTGCATGTTTGGATTCACAGAATCATGAAACTTGTATAATATTTCTGTTCATGATTGATAATAATACCTGGAGGTTGTGGCAGTCGAAGTTATTTTCTTCACAGTTAGCGAAAGTATATTTCATCAAATACAGTGTAATGCTTGCTTAGGTGTAGTAATCTGCTTAGTCTGATGAACCTTAGCTAAAGGCATTAGTGATTGTACTTCTAAACAACAGACTTCAAAAATTTGTGACTTATTATAAAACATTCAGATTTCTAGATATTTTGGTTTTAATATTACTTGCTTTTCATGTTTTCTTTAATGCAGACTTTAGGTAAAGTCGGTCGGGTCCAGCAGATCTATTCAGACAGTGACTTAAAGGTAGAAGTTTGTGGGACATCTTGGACGTATAATCCAGCAGCTGTCTCAAAGGTGGCATCAGCAGGATCTGCTATAAGTAATGCATCTGGCGGTAAGTCTGAAGAATAGCCGGTAATGTATGTATGGCAAGTATTTGTGTTAATTAAAGAATTGCTAAAAAGTACTAGTGCATAGTTCGTATGCAAGGTTAATAATACTCAGACCTGGGTTTTGGCTAGTGGATGTTACACCATTGAGAAAGATACAAGAAAAAGCTCACAGTTAGTATGGAGAGGTTGGTTGTTATCTTACAAGGTGCAAAAACTCCAAATCGAATTTGGGTTTCTGTTTGGCCACAATGCAGCTATGTCTTTGGAGGTCTGCTCTAAAGACATGAACATTTAAATGATTGGAAGGGCCATTAGATCGGAGTAGGGACTAAAGCACGAAGGGAGTGTCACTGGCTGTATCAAGCAGACTGCTTGTTTAATAGGTGGTGTAGGATAGCAAGCGTAAGTGAGGGATCTGTTGCAAGCAGTTGCTCAGGATAATATTCTTCCCTTAAAATTTGTCTTAAAATTTAGTCAGATACCCTTTGACTAATTATAGTGGGGTTTTTTTTTGTCTGTGTAATCACATTTCAGTTCTCGTGAACCTACTCTGATTCATCTAATAATGAGGCAGAAAGACTATCCAATGTGGTTTCTGTTCTGTTGGCTGCTTCACAAACTAATTAAATTAGAATGTTTTTACTGTTTTTGGTCATAGCTAGTTGTTTTTTCCTCTTCACATATTTGCTTTAATGCCAAAAAACCTTTCTACATGGTTTTCTAGACTTTCTTAGGGAGTCAGAGATACAGTGAGTTTTCTGCAATAAAGATAAGATCACAGTGGCCATAAAACTCGCTAGAAGAGTAATGTGACTTTGTGTTTCAAATCACAGAGAGGAGGATATACCCTAAGTTAAGCTGTAAGACTAAGCAGCCTGTTACATCAATACATAAATTCAGTATGTAAATTCAAGGATATTGGGGTGCAGCACTTACTCAAAACTGAATAATAATCTGGAGCTGCCATTTTATGGTGGTTTGTGTATTACTGTGTACATGTCTGTAGAAACATGACAGATTTAGCTGTTATTTTTCTCTTGTGAGATGAGAATTGTAATCTTAATTGTCCTTTGTTTAATAATTGTAGAGAGATTGTCCCAGCTATTGAAGAAATTATTTGAAACCCAAGAATCTGGAGATCTCAATGAAGAATTGGTTAAAGCTGCTGCCAATGGAGATGTTGCTAAAGTGGAAGACTTGCTAAAGAGACCAGATGTAGATGTGAGTGTTGTGTTTTGGGAGGACCTGTTCTGGGAACCTGTAATACCAAAGGAAGTGAAGCTGTCCTAGGTACTCCTTGCCAATCAGTAGTGTGTCTGCATAGAAGTGGGACAGGTGGTTCCAGTGTCTCTCCTCCTATTTGTTGCCCTATGAAAATGAAATGTGTCTGGGGAGTGTGTATGTGTAAAAATAGTGCTTTACACCCTTTCGTGACAGACAGATTTCGTGTTTTGTTTTCTGCGATGAATTAAAATGCCATTCAGGCTCCGTCAGCCAGAGTTGGGGCAGAGACCAAGCAGTCACAGTTTGTGAAGGGTCTGCAACTTCTTTTGTTTTGAGTGGGATAGAAGGAAGGAGGGTATATTTTAGGGATGTTTTTGCTGCTGCTGTTGTGGGTTTTGTTTTGTTATTTTTTAACTTGCGAGGTAGATCATCTGATCTGTTCTCTGTCAGGTTCCTTTTACCAGCTTATTTATTCACCAAGTACTGAAAAGTCTAGAAGAAAATGCTGAAGAATTGCAGGACTTGGTTCAGGGACCATGTTTTAAAATCGCAATCAGATGTTTTTCCTCACTACAGCAGTAGTAATTCTTGCAGGTTAGAGACTAAACTCCTTCAGTTCTGAGGACTGATTTGTAGCTTATTTTGTAGATTATACAAAGCATGGTATTTTGTTCAGACTGACTCCTGTTGTTGCCATAAATTAGAAAATGAAGTTACATAGGCTGTAGAGCAGAGGACTGGTATCATTCTGAGACTTGTTCTCAAAATCTTGCTTTTACAGTAGCCCAAAGATGAAAGTTTTTAATCCAACTATTGTTAAGGTCTTAATGGTTGAAATAAATCCATTTCTTGTTTCTTTCCTTCAATCTAGCTAATGTTATAGAAATGAAATAGAGAAGACCTATGAGTTCATCTGTATGTGCTAGATAGACAGCTGTCTAAAAATTGTTCATTTGATACTTTTGTATGTGTGCTCTTGCTTTGTTTTCTCATACACTTGCATGTATACTGCTAAAGTGGCTCATAGGGGTGTGTGTGTGTATCTTGCAGCTTATCTCAAAGTATTGATATGTTTCCAGGTGAATGGACAATGTGCTGGACACACAGCTATGCAAGCTGCTAGTCAGAACGGCCACGTCGACATTTTGAAGTTGCTCCTGAAACAGAATGTGGATGTAGAAGCAGAGGTAACCTAAATATTTCAAAATGCACTTTGTCTCCTTAAGTTTTAAACCTTGCTACAAATAGAAATAACAATTCTATTTGACTTGCCTTCTTCTTACATGTCAGAGCCAGTGGAAAACTGCCTTTGTTACTGTGATTATTTCCAAATGAGCTTTCTGCTAACAGTATTACAGAGGGTCCATATGTAATTCTGTAGCACTTCCAATGAAGTGAAATACAATGTTAATATAATAAAGCTGTGTAAGCTAGTAAGTGATTGTAGTGGATGAAGCCCCTTCTTTATTTCCTTTATTTAATTTCAACAGCAGAATGCAAGAGATGTCGGATGGTGCATCTGCAACTTCAGATACTTGCCATGCTTCTCTTATACAGTGTTCAGTTCAGAGAAAGGTTTCCAGTCTTCACTAAAGCAAGTTTGAGTACAAAGTAGTAACAGTATCTTTGGGTAGGAACTACCAACTCTGCTTCCAGTTTTTCAGGAGGTTTTTTTGTTTGTTTTAACCTCACTCAAAATGTAATGTTTTCTTTTGTTTAGATTTTTTAGTTATTGTTTCTGAGAAAATTATCTATCAGCATATTGTGATATTTGCATTTTTAATTGATTTTTCCTTGCTTAATTACACAGAATACACTGATATTGCAGCCTTTGCTCATTTCGTGAAGCACAGGAAGGATCTCACAGAATCACAGAATCACAGAACGT